AGATGTGGGCATGGATGCTCTCAAAGCAGGAGCTGAGCCATCAGGGAGCTGTTGTCCGGCACGGTCACACTGAGAGGGGGTGGTGGCACAACAGCCTTTTGTTGGCAGTGAGCAAAGGGGATTGCAGCTCCTGTCCCTGCGCCCTGTGGGAATGCTGTGAGGGATGGCAGAGCTCAGCCTCATCCTGAGAGCCTTGGTAGACTCTGGATTCTGCATGGAAGTCCTTGTGCTGTGTCCTGCATCCTGAGCTGCTCAGGCATAGCAAGGACTCGTGGCTGTGGCATCTCTAGTGCTGCCTMCCACCCTTGGGAAGGAAATAAAATACTGTCCCCAGCTACTGAATTGTCCAATTCTGCCTGCCTTGTTCCCTGTCCTTGATTCCTCTCCTTCCCTCTGCCTGCAGCAGTCTTTACAYCTGACTCCAAAGGGCATTTCCCAGTTAGGCCACAAGTACAACTATTCCTCTATGGCTGTAGAACCCTTAATGTTACATTATCTTCCAGTATGATGGAGAAGTGCAATTTATAAACTGGTTTCTACTTAGTGAAAGAAACAGTGGGAAAAACAAGTCTTAATCTCTGAGTCTGGAGAGATCAGTGGTATAAGAAACAGTGATGTTTTCACAATCATGGAGTCATGGAATAGTTTTGGGCTGGAAGGGACCTTTCATTCCAACTCCCTGCCCTGGGCAGGGGCTCCTCCCACCATCCCAGGGTGCTCTAAGTCCTGTCCAACCTGGCCTGGAACACTTCCAGGGATCCAGGGACAGCCACAGCTTCTCTGGGCACCCTGTGCCAGGGCCTCCACACCCTCCCAAGAACAATTCCTTCCCAATCTCATTAGATGCTGTTTCARTTGCTGGGTAAATAGTGCCCAGGGAGCTGAGTGATGCCCTTCAAATGGCCTCATGTGGCTGCTGGTGCCCCCTGTGTGTTCCAGGGCTGAAACTGCTTTCCCAAGGGAAGGCTGAGCCAGAGGCTGCTCGTGAGCTGTGGATGACACTGGGGTGAAGTCCCTGGAGTGTGGTTGGACRCTGGGGGTTCAGTTGCAGCTCCTGCCATACAAACCTGGATTTCACTGGTTGTGGTGTAACCACAGTGAGTGAAAGCCGAGGGAGAGGGAGATGCTGGCACAGGGAGGACAAGAGCTCCTGAGTCTCCAAGTGCTGGTCACCTTGTGCTCCTCTGAGCCTGCTCTGGGGCAGCCTCAGCTCAGTGTGTGTAGCTCCTGCTGAGTGTCAGGTGTTTGAGCTGGTTTGCAGACCTGTCCCTCACCATCCCCAGAGTTTCTGGCACCCTCAGACCAGCCGAATGCTCCCRGCCAGGACAGAACATCACAGGGTCCCTCAGCGTGTCATACCTGCCCTGTTTGTCTGAACTGGGGTAGCTTTGGAGCTGCCAGGATTGCAGGAATGCTCTGGTCCCGGGGTTGGGCTGCTGGGAGCTCCCTGACCTCCTGTGACAGCTGGGGCAGGAATTTGGCTGTGCCTGGGGTCACGGGGACGGTCTTGGTTCACTGCAAGGTTTCTCTGCTTGCTTCTGTCAGCTCTGAGACAATAGGTGAGGTTTTCAGCGGGGACAAGACTACCCAGAATGGTGCTGAGCCTTGCTGGGGGGAAGGAAATTTTCAGAGCAATTCCAGAGGAATCCCTTGTGCTTGTTAAGTGTTGGGGGCCAAGTGTGAGCTGGGGCTGTTCATTTCTTGCCCCATCCTATGAACTTGCAGCACTGCCACACAGTTGCATTTACAAATTATGTGTCAGCATCATCCTCCCAGCATCCAGAGCTCAATTTTTGGCTGCTGGATATCACCAAAACCACAGCTGTGGAGCTGGCAGACAAAAAGCATTTTATTATCTCCTTTTTCACCTTTTTCTCTTTGCTCTGTTGATAAACCTGTCCTGTGGGCCCTTACAGGGAGATCTGTTGTTTATATCTGGGAAGATTTGGTACAGTTGTTAAAAATTGGGAGCATCTTTCTCCTGCACAGCACTGGCATTCTGAGCAGCCTCCTGGAGCTCAAGTGTCCCTTCAGAACTGGGAAGCAGCTCTTAAAATTATAATTTGCTGCTCTTTTATGGCACTGCAGTGTGTGGCTGCTCTGTCAAGGCTGCAGAATCCAAGTCACTGAAATTCAGACTCCAGGAGTTTTATACTGAAGCCCTATTAAGGAACTGATGCTGTAAATTATCTTGTCAAGCTCTCTGTGTTTAGGTTTGTGGTGTTGAAGAGCTGAAGCTTTTTCACTCAAAAAACAGGAGAAATGCTATAAATAATATTTTGAAAAGAAAATCTTTGAAGATTGTTACAAGATCTGTCATTGTGAGTGGCTGGGATACAAGAGCTGTGCTGGGGCTGGTGGGTAGGGTGGGTGATGGTGATGCCAGAATTTTCAYCAGTCTGAAATTTCTGTGGTTGTGTTGAAATAAAAAAGGAAAGTGTGTATTCAGAGCAGCAACATCTGCTGGCTTGGACAAAATCCGTTTGGGGGGTTGGGACCTAATGCATCCAGAGGGGGTTTGACAGCTGAAATAGGGATGTGCTGCCATCGTGGTGAAGGATATCCTTGCTTTGGAAGTAAGGAATCTGCTCTCTGATGATCTTAGCACCTCCATAACAGCACTTCACTTGCCACAGGGCCAATTTTGGGGATAAGCCATGACATCTGTCCACAGTTCTTGGCCTGCTCTCTCTGGAGCTGGGTGCCTGAGCTGAGCAKTGTTTCCTTGGACTCCTCACTCTGGGCTTCCATGGAGCACGTCCTGGCGCTTTGGGATTGTCCTGCTGGGAAAAGGGGTGTATTGATGTTGAGGTGATGATGTTTGCTGTCCACTTTCTGGGTGGGTGCTTTAGTCCTTGCTGTGGTATTTTGGGCTGTTTTTTCCCTCTGGTGTGTACTGGCCAGGACTCTCTGCAAGCTCCCCCCCAGCCTCCCATGCATAGCTCTAATTCCGTCTCTCTGARGGCGAATCCCAGCGCTTTTTGCTCCCTCACAGAGCTAAAAACTCCCGGAGGTTCAGCTGCCTCCACCTCTATGCACTGCATGTCCACATTTGACCTCCCTCGGCCAGGTGCTCTCCATGTGTAGTGCTCAGATCGCTGCGGGAAGGGGGAACTGGGAAATCTGCCGGGATCGCGTTATGCAAGAGCCGAGTGCCAGTGGTGAATAAGCAGATCCAGCTGACCACGAGGGCTCTGAAGGGCACCTCTGCTTCTTTCTCTGCGTGTGGACTCAGGAGGTTGCTGTTGGCTCCGAGCTGGGTCAGGTGCCTGTCTCGTGTGTGGGTGCTGATTGATAGGAATTGGTTTCCCATGCAGATTGGCATGGGAAGGGAGCTCGGGGAGCACAGTCCTGGTTTCCTTGGGCAGGGGAGYGAGACTGTTTGAATGGCTGCAGCTGATTTAGGGCAGTCACCTTGCAGACCTTTGCTGGGTGCAGAGGAGAAAATGATTTTAGCAGCTCTCTCAAGGTGGGAAGGGATCCTTCCTGGGAGCACAGTACATGCTGCAGAATGAAGGGGTGACTTGGGAATGAAAAYTGGGGCTTGATTCCTTTGGGGCCAACTCACCCCCTGCAAAAAGGTGTAACCAGGCTGTGCCCTGGGTCTGAACTTACTCTGTGGTGCTGAGACACAAACCATAAGTTTAGGAGGCACCAGGAGGATTTTGTGTCCTCATGTTGAGCTCAGATGTGGCCCTGGGATAAACGTGTACCACAAAGCAGTGTCAGGGCTGAGCAGGTGAGAAATGTCCTTGGGCTCTGGAGGGGTTTGGAGATTTGAGTTTGTGTCAGGCAGAGTGGCTTCCTTTGGTAACAGGCAAGCCCAGGGATAAGGTTGGCAGTAGGAATCCCTGGATTGCTGCCCATTCTTCCCTGGGAGGGACTGTATCTCCATCCCATAATGAACKTGGTCTGACACTTTCTGAGAGCAGCCCCAGGCTGTGCCTGTAACACTTCCCTCAAGAGACCAGCAGAGTCCTGTGCTGTGATGTTCTTACAGAATTACAGAGGTTGGAAAAGCCCTCTGAGATCATTGAGGTCAACCATTAACCTGCCACTGCCGAGGCTACCACCAGGCCATGTCCTCATGTGCCACATGAACACATTTCTGTGAACACTCCAAAGGATGGTGACTTCAGCAGTGCGCTGGGCAGTCTGTTCCAATGCATGACCACCTTCTCCAAGAAGAAATTTTCTGAGTGTCCCAATATCTCCCCTGCCCTGGCCCAGCCTGAGGCCGTTCCCTCTCCTCCTGTCCCTGTTCCCTGGAGCAGAGCCTGACCCCCCCGGCTGTCCCCTCCTGTCAGGGAGTTGTGCAGAGCCACAAGGTCCCCCCGGAGCCTCCTTTGCTCCAGGCTGAGCCCCTTTCCCAGCTCCCTCAGCCGCTCCTGGGGCTCCAGACCCTTCCCCAGCTCCGTTCCCTGCCCTGGACTCACTCGCTCCAGCCCTTCCAGGGCTCTCCTGTCAGGAGGCTCCCAGAGCTGTCCCAGCACTGGAGGTGCCCCAGCAGTGCCAGCTCAGGGGATGGGCACTGCCCTGCTCCTGCTGCCACCCTAGAGCTGGGACATGCAAGCTCTAAGCACTCTTAGACAAAAACAATGATGGAAGGGAGAGGCTCTAAAGAGCCACAAAATGTGGGATGCTGGAGGTGGGACAGCTGGGAGAAGGGAGAAGAGCAGCAGTGGAAATGGCATGAGAAAGGCCAGYGTGGTGTACTCGGTGACTTTGCTTTTTGAGCAGCCAGAGGCAGCGGACACAGTGGGACGTGGATGTATAGGGAGTGATGGGATGGTGTTCCTCCAAGGGAACAAGYTCCATCTAAAAACCTCACCCTGTTCTTGCTTCTCTGTTTGAGGACTTTGTCCAGCTTTGGTGGCTTGGACACGAGTGCTGCCAGCTCGAGGTGTCTGCACGGGTCTGAGCTGTGCAGGAGGGTGCTTCTGTGCTGTGCTGGTGTCAGCTACAGAGGCATTGACCCTTCCTTGTCTGTTCCCGTGCAGGACGCAGGCRGAGATGGCCCACACTTGCCGGGGCACCATCAACCTGTCCACGGCCCACATCGACACCGAGGACTCGTGCAACATCGTGCTGTCCAACGGCGGCAGGACCTACCACCTGAAGGCCAACTCGGAGGTGGAGAGGCAGCGCTGGGTCACGGCCCTGGAGCTGGCCAAGGCCAAGGCCATCCGCATGCGSAACAACCAGTCAGGTACGGTGCAAGCAGAGCCTTCCAGCCCCTCCTGCTCACCCCTGTGCCCAGTGGTGCAGAACCCGCCCAGATATGGTTCTGTGTGCAGCTGGAAGCTGCTGATGGGCTCCCAGAGACACAAAGGGTTGGATGCAACCCTGCTACTCCTGGTGTCCTCTCAGCTGCCTGGAAGCCTGAGCAGCTTCTTAAAAGTGTGGGAATGGTTGTAAATTGTGGAGAGCCAGGAGCAGTGAGCTAATGATGCTACTTCTGGAAGGCAGAGCGGCGTGGCTTCCTCTGGGACACCATGCTGGGAGTGCTGTAGATGCAGTGCTCGGAGGCCTGGGCACCGCAGGAGTGGTTTGATGGGYGACTGCCACGAATATTTAGTTGAGCTATCTCACTCTGTGCTTATTTCTCCTTCTCTCCTTTCAGTTTTGGTGTTTATTGGGGTAGGTTTGGGGCAGCTCTGCTTTGTGAAGCTGTCAGAACCCTGTGCCTGCTCCTCCCCAGAGTKACATTGTTCCTGCTCTGATGGGTCACTTAGAGGCTTAACAAACAGAATATTTTAGAAATATTTCAATRGTTCTGTGATTCTGTGTTTCAATGTCTATAACTCTTAGGGGATTACCATTGGGTTTTCTTCCACAAGCAAGCACAGCTTCAAGCTGCAGTAAACAAACRTCAGAAATGGAAAAGAGGAGGCTCCAGGGACACCTCAAAGCCCTTGCAGGGCCTAAAGGGGCTCCAGGAGAGCTAGAGAGGGACTGGGGACAAGCGATGGAGTGCCAGGACAAGGGGAATGGCTTCCCAGTGCCAGAGGGCAGGGTTGGATGGGATATTGGGAAGGAATTGTTCCCTGGGAGGGTGGGGAGGCCCTGGCACAGGGTGCCCAGAGAAGCTGTGGCTGCCCCTGGATCCCTGGCAGTGTCCAAGGCCAGGCTGGACATTGGGGCTGGGAGCAGCCTGGGACAGTGGGAGGTGTCCCTGCCCATGGCAGGGGATGGGATGGGATGATATTTAAGGTCCCATCCAACCCAAATCACTCTGTGATTCTGAGTGCTGTGAACTCTCTGTCCCTTAATATCGCAGCTCTGGAATATGCAAATACTAACAGAGAGCTCAGCTGGCCCAGGAGAAGGTGGAAGGTTCTGGGCGCGATGGTTTGGGTGGGCAGGGTGTGCCACTGAGCTGGTCCTGGCTGTGGGGTTTTTCAGCTGAGTGGGGGTGTGGGAAGGATCTCCTGCAGATTGGGGTGTGTGGGAAGGATCTCCTGCAGGTTGGGATGTAGGACAGGATCTCCTGCAGATTGGGGTGTGTGGGAAGGATCTCCTGCAGGTTGGGATGTAGGACAGGATCTCCTGCAGCGGTAGTATGTGGTTTTACCTTCCCTTCAGGGCCGTGGGGCTGTGGCGGTGCTGGCTCAGTGCAGAGCAGCCCCGGGGCTGTCAGCCACGCTCCTGCTGAGTCAGGCCCAGCTATTTTGGTTTGTGCCCTGCCMTGTCTGCTGCCCTGAGGCCCTGGCCATGCCCAGTCCAGCTCTGGGGTGCTCAGGGCTCAGGGCAGTGGCTGTGTGGATGTGGCTGTGCTGCCCCGTGGCTCTGCTGGCTGTACTCTGATCCCGGCCACAGAGATAATGGGGGACAGAATCCACACCAGACTCGTGTTTTTCATGTTTTTCCAAGCTTTCCTGATCTGATCCCAGAGGATAAGACACGCTGTAAATGGGTGCTGAATCCTTGTGCTGTGGGGCTGAGAACATCAGATCTTTTACTTTATGCCTTAATGTTCATCTGGCTGATGGTGATTTGTCSAAATTAGAAATCTTTTAATTACAGCAAAGAGTGACTGTGTGTTAGGTTTGACTGTTTGCCTTGAATCAAAATAGAATTCCTGATGCTTTGCCCCTCTGAGCACTGGGGTGGATGTTCACAAGTGAAGGGAAGAGGTTGTGGATTTGCTGTAGAAGTCCTCAGTCTTTCAGCTCTGCTAATGTGTGGAATTGTGTGAGTTGCCTCYTCTTACCCTGAGGGATCCCAAAACCTGTGTGTGCCCCAGGGTGCCCTGCAGAGCCCAGCTGGACTCCTGTGGGTGCAAAGGGTGATGAGCAGCTGAAGGGATTTGTGCCAACAGGGAGCAGCATCTGTGGCTCTGCGAGATTGGAAGATTGGGAGAGGGTGGCAGAGGGCAGGTGGGATGGACAGAGKAGCAGTTTGTGTCTGATGCTGTTTGTCCTTCTGGGAAAGGACCCAAGGAGAACCCACACTCTTTTACATCTTAGCTCACAGGCACAGCCTGCTGCCGTGGCCAGGGCCTCCCCACCCTCCCASGGAACAATTCCTTCCCAATATCCMATCYAWMYCTSCYCTCTKKCA